GGGGGGGGGGGGGGGGGGGGGGGGGGGGGGGGGGGGGGGGGGGGGGGGGGGGGGGGGGGGGGGGGGGGGGGGGTACTCACAGTCGTGCATGCCGTAGTCGTTAGACCATTGACGTCGCATGAACGGTGCGCTGCATCCTGCTAAGGGTGTTCGGCATCTTGTGCTTACTTGCTTGCGTACGGTCGACAGCTACGTATGACTTAATTTATTTTCTGGTGTTTCACTTCCAGAGACAGTTGTAAGCACTGTGTAACTGCCTCGAGGGTGCTTGACCATTGTAACACAAAGTGGTGCGATCATCCCCCTTGCGCGGAGTGAGGGTTCTCCACCCCGCACAACATGATCTACTCGACCACCATTATGGTTACCGCCAAAAAAACACCAGAGGTAAAAAAAAAACAAAACGGTAACCTGGTTGCCGAGTTCACGAAGTGAGTTGGTTTGTCTTACAACGTCTTTGTCAATCGACGAAAACCCAACCCCGATGGCAAACACCGAGCAGGGGGAGTGTGTGTGCGTTGGGGGCGGCTTTGTGGCTATTGGATTGTTGTTGTGTCGACGAGAGCGGGAAGAACGGTGCACCTCACCCCATGATGGTTTGTACTTTATTGTGACACACCAGTGCACCTCACCCACCTTGTACCGTATTTTTTTTTTTGAAATAACCAATGAATTTACCGTAAATTTTTGTCATGACGGAAGCAGGCTACGCCACCCAGAGATGGATTGTACCTCTTTTTGACTTAGTGGTGTCTACCTCATCTTATCATGTATGGTACTGCACCCGTAATTGTCGCATGGCATTTGTCTGCAGGAACGCGACGAGTGGGTGGCAGAGCTTCGGGTGGCGTCGAGGGTGGTGCCTTTGGAAGACATCTTCGAGATCAAGGCGTTGCTCAGGAAGGGGGCTTTCGCGTCTGTGAGTAAAACCGTCATTCTTGTTATTCCATGAAAGTGGAACCGTCGTATTCCATGAGAGTGAAACCGTTGTTCCATGAACGTGAAATGGTCATTCCATGAAAAAGGAAACTATGTTGTATTTGCATAAAATGTCAAGTTTTTTCTCTCGTTGCTTTGGAGGACCACCGTTATTGTCATGTGTGGTGTTCAGTACCACAGGTTGTATGAACCCGATTCATCGTTGTTGTCAATGTTGGTGCCGATGACGGTTACACTCTTGACATCGCATTGGGCCCGCACTCAAAGTTGCATTTCTGATTCGAAGTTCGTCCGACGATGCCTATCCACGGCTAAAAACCACATGTGCGTCGGTGTGTCTGCGAGGGTATGTGTGCGGTAATGTTTTTGTATCACAGGTTCGATGCAACCGATTCGTAGTCGTTGCTGTTGGCGGCAACTGACGGTTACAACCTTATCCGTGCTCCATGTTCCATTGCTGATTCGATCGTTCGACGATTTTCATCCGCGGCGAAACTGCAGGTGCATCGCTGCGTCCGCAAGGACACCCAAGAAGAATTTGCGGTGAAGGTCATCGACAAAACCAGCCTCTCGTCCCACGAAAAATTTCTCTTGCGCGGAGAGATAGGTGAGTACCGGGGTGGGGCCTATCGTGTGTGTGGGGGGAAGGGGGGGGTAGCATGCAGTACAGCGGCAGGTCGTGATCAGATTGAACTTACGACGTCAGTCAAAGTTATGAGACCAGCGAGGCAAGGCACTGGAATAATTCTTACTGAGTACGACGTACTTTTTTTGTTCGTTCTCGACCACATGTTTTGATCCTTGGGAGGGCTTATGGGATGGTCAGCGATGCTCTCTTGTGGTCTGCGTGTGTGTGCGTGGCTGGTCGACGGCCCTGCTGCTGTGGTACATGGAAATGGACACCTACGTGCGGAGGACGTGTTTCGTTTGCGTGCCCGCGCGAAGACACGAAACAAGGCCCGTCAATTTTTGTTGTTCATGAAGTCTTCTCTTGGTTTGCGTGCGTGTGGACGTGTAGGTGCCCTGAAGCTCGTGTCGCACCCCAATGTTGTCCGGCTTGAGGCTGTCCACGAGGACCCCCGGTCCATCGCGATCGTCATGACTCTCTGCAGAGGCGGAGACCTATGGGACAAGGTGTGTCGGAGGGGGGTGACGTAGAATCAGTTGGTCGTTGGACGGGGCGACGTAGTATCGATGCTATGCTGGAGGCGGCGACGGAATATTGCTTTGATGGGCATGAAAATTGTCGTCAGGATCAGGTCTCTATTGTTGTTTTTGTGTTCGACCATGACGAGTGTCATGGAGACGAGCGCCAAAATGTCGTCATTGTTGTTCGAGCGTGAATCGCGGAGAATCGATGAACTTGAAAACACGTCATGTCATGGAGATGAGCTTCTCGTTGTCATCGTTTTTTGTTTTTGCTGTGAGCGAAGCGGGGTGGAATGCGTAACATCGATGTGCTTGAAACTGTGTCATCGGGGTCAGCTCTCCGATGTCATGGTTGTTTGTTGTCGTCAGCACCGTGGAATGCGGAATACCGACGTGCTTGAAAGATTTTGATGTGTCGTCGGGGTGATCTCCTCGTTGTTGTTGCTCACCGTATGTCTGCGGTTGTCTGGTGTCGCCGCTCCTGTTTGCCCAACGGCTGCTGCTGCTTCTGCTTCTTGTGATGAAAGGTGCGGTCGCAACCATCTCGGTGCTTCACCTCGAGCCAGGCCAGGACTGTCATGAGGCCGCTGTGCGAGGCTGTCTTGTATCTCCACACGCTCGGTGAGTGTGCGTGCGGTCGCTAACCTTAAGCCTAAGCCCTAAGGGCAACTCCTAGAGATTGCGAATTTGTGTTCTTTGATGTACAATTTAGAGTGCGACCTAATCTTACCCTATGGCAGAGGACACGGCAATGTGCCTAATGAGTGATACTTCGGAGCTTTGGGTCATAGAGACGTGCTACAAGTGGTTGCCCGCTACTTCAGAAACCGTGTGGTACGCCGGACCCACACAGAGCAGCATAGACACTCGTTCCAAGCGGCACAGCACTGACCGATTCGATCATGGCTTGTCCGCAGCAACGAAGCACAAAGGAAACAGCTGCTGTTGATGGGGACAGCAACAAGTGCATCCCCGCGTGTACTGCCCAAGAAAAAGAGTTGGACGAAAACAGAAGAACGTTTACTTTTGAGGTGTTACCGTAAATGACACAAGATAACACACCCCCCTGGACCGATTTTTCAAATCTCGATTTCTCAACAACAGAAAGCGTCACGGCGCCGAAAAACGGCGGCGTTGGAACCGTCTCGTCGAGAGCTTTCCAAAAATGTATCGTTTCGTTTATGCATCATCTTCGTGGAGTAATGGAGCTTTGAAAATCGGTCCAGGGGGTGTGTTATCTTGTGTAACATACGGTATTTGCGCCCCCGAATTCACACCGCAGCATGCACTTCTTCGCCCGCCCTCCGTTTCTTAGATTGATTCTGGTTGTTGTTGGTGTTCTGTGTTCATTTAGTCATTTGTTGCATTTAGGCGTCAAGTGGGAAACAAATCAAATTCCCCACGCTGGTCTTTGACCTTACGAAGGAAATCCGCGGGACTGTGAACTCCTGCGGCATGCCTATTTATCCCGAAAGTATTCGCACGTGTCGTTTCGCCGTCGTTTTGCTCCTCCCAGCGTTACGAGGATGTTGGTCGGGGAGCCAGCTGCCGAACCGTTGTTGTTGGCCCTCAGTGGCTGAATCACAATGTCGCCTTTTTGTCAGGCATCTTGCTCGTATCGCCCAGCTTCCAACCCACCGGTTGTCTGTACCTTATTGAACTGAACAAAATGACCACACCTCAACGCCCATTTTGTTCCGTTTGTCAGGCATCTTGCATCGCGACATCAAGCCGGAGAACATCTTGCTTGTGGACGATGGAGACGGCAATCTAGGAGGGGTCACGCTGTCCGACTTTGGCTTTTCGCACCAAGTGTCGCCCAAGTCGCGGCTCGCCTGCGGAAAGCAGGTTCGTTTCTGACACCACCATGGTCTTCTTCTCGATTCTCTGTTTTGCTTTGATGCCACGTCACGCACTGTTGCTCCAGTCTCAAACGAGAGATCACGGATGAGTGCAATGCAATGTTTCTTATGCGGTTGTGCAGAATCTACCAAATGCTCCGGAGCAAGGTAAATGGTGCTGTATGTTGTTACATCGAAGGTTGGGCCGGCAAGCCAAGCTGTGTTCATGAGCGGTTGAAAAAGGCCGGTCGTTGATCATCTTCGTTTACATTTCGACAGTGAGATTCTAGTCCGCATATTGTTGCTGTGTGGACCGTTGCGTTCTCTGTCCCTCTGCGTTTTTTTTTTCCTCTCGTCCTTCCTTGTTTCTTGTTGGAAAGTCTGGCGCGATACTGTATCCGTTCTACGTGGCTCCTCTCCTCTCTGTTACGCATACCCTACCCTCGCCAATCTTGTCCTCGTCGCATGCGTCTGGTCGGCACTGTTCCTGCCTTCTGGTGGGTTGTCTCCATCGCACCGCTCAACACCCGACTGATCGATCGCCGATGCGTCGGATGTGATATGATCCGTCTGCCAGCTGATGGGCACTCCCTCGTACATGGCCCCCGAGTCCATCTTGCACGGCATGTACGGCAAAGAGGTCGACTGGTGAGTGGCCTGGTATGCATAGATACAAGCAGTGCAGCGCGTAGTTGAGCACAGCAGTGCCGTTCGAGAAGAAAAGTCTGGATATGTTGTCCACAAACGTATGGACATTGACCCAGCTTCGCACCTACACTACTGTTACGGTCGTTTCTCCTTCACCTGGTTCTAGCCGTTACACCTTCTCACAGCGCGATGGTATGCGTGGTCGGTCTCGTTACATCGCGCTGGTTTGCGACATGTAGTCGGTTTTCCTTTCTCTATAGCGCTTGTGTGCATAATCGGTCTCTCCTCACATACCACAACCCTTGCCTGTTCAATCACCCCGCTACCACGACACGCGCGTTCCTCCAGGTTCTCTTGTGGCTGTGTGCTGTACATGATGCTCATGGGTCGAGCGCCTTTCGCGGGTAACAGCCCTTCCGAGATCTTCCGCAACACGTGCCACGGCCGCCTGGGGCTCGGCAGGGGCGGCGCGTCCCTGTGGGACAAGCTCCCGGCGGCGGCGCGTGAGCTCATCGTCGGCCTCATGCAGCTTGACCACAACCTGCGATTCACCGGCGAGCAGGCGATGGAGCATCGGTGGCTCGCGACCTCCGCCGATGAGGAGCTGGGCGCCGCTGTCGGCGCGGCGCAGCAGCAGCAGCAGGCTGCACAGGAGGGAAGGCGGCGCCGGCATGGAAGCGGCGGGAGCGGGAGCCGAAACGGGAGCCGCAGCGGCAGCGGCAGCCGGAGGGGTAGCAGGAGCAGCGGTGGTAGCGGGGGCGAGGAGCCGCCCGGTGCTCACGCTGGCGGCGGCGGCAGGGGTGATGTAGCGGGTGTAAGGCCGGCAGCGGAATCGCTGAAAGGGGTGCCGCCGAGCAGCAGTTCGACTAGCTTCGCGACGACCACGCCGACTAGTAGCTCGGGCAGCACCCCCGGGAGGAGGGGCATACGGGGGGGAGGGGTACCGGCCGGCAGAGGCACCGTGGATCGTCAGCACCAGCAGCATCAACAGCCTCACTGATTGTGAAGGGATACGTGTAGCAGCAAGCACTTGGTTCGGTTCGTTTTACGGGTACATGATGTAGTGTTATGCAGTCGTTGACGAAAATCGATTCACGGAACCCCGGGCGTTGGGTGGGGTTGGGGGTGTTCTATGCCCGTAGGACCGCGTGGCTTGGAATGGAAGTGGAATGGAGTGGAATGGAGTGGAATGGAGTGGAGTGCACGGATCGAAAAAAAAAGTAAAATTGTGTATCCTACGGCCTTATCTAGATTTTTTTTTTTGCAGGGCGGGGGTGTATTTTGGACAGCTGGGCAGAAAGCCCGCTCCTCGCAATTTGCGCCGTGACGGCTGCGACAGGGCCGGGGGCACGGAGTTGCTTCCATCCTCGAACCCCCCCCCACCCCCCCACCCCCCCACCCCCGTACTGAGGCTTTGCTTGTTAAGTTCATGCCTCGGTACTCGCGCGATTTATTCGCTTTTAGAAGAGCGAGCGAGGACGTTGCATATTGTGGTGTGGTGTTGGCAGGCAGGAAGACGCTGCATGTGTGGAATGATGTAGTTGTTTTTCGGCATGGGAACAATCGTGCGTGCGTGCGCGCCAATCCGTGTGAGTAGTAGCTTAGCATCCGAGACGTTTGCGATTGGACAGGCCGGGGGAACGCGCGTGGTTTGTATCCCCGGTGGTCCACATGCGGCTGAGAGTGCGTGACGTTGGCAATTCGCCGCATTGTGTTCTATTGTAACATGCCGTGTAGAACAATAGGTGAGGACATTAAATGTTTAGGGCGCCTACGATGTTGGATAGTGCAGGAGGATGTGCGTGCTTTTCAGCTGCGTTGGGCGTTTTATGGGAGTGCTTGCACCCGCCCCGCCCCCTGTTTGTGCGGTGCCCGAAGTTGGAATTTGTTGCCCCTTGTTGCCGCTGCAGCATGTGTTGCTTCGCGCAGCAGCAGCAGCAGCAGCAGCAGCAGCAGCAGCAGCAGCAGCAGCAGCAGCAGCAAGACGTGGAGGGTATCGATTGCCTTGTGTTGCGTGTTTATATTTTGTCTTGACGGCGCCAGCCTTGGTGTTGGTGTGTGGGTGTGCTTTTATTGCCTTTTCCGAATTGGTGGTTTGTCACCACCAGTCATGCACGGTTTGGCCAATACACCCGCTGGGGTGGGTGGTTCAGTGGGTTTGGGGGAAATGTCTCCCCCGCGTGTGCAGGGAGCACGCGAGTATTGAGCCGTTCTCAGCAGTACTTCGATGTAGTAGTGGAGATTTTAGCACAAGTCTTCTGGAAAGGTCCATCAAGGCGCAGAGTAAATGCCACGGGAACTTTCCGTTCTCTTTTTGTTTGGTCCCATTTCTAATCCCCCTCGCCGGTTGCGAGGGTCGGTCATGTGTTCGGAGTTTTTCTCGAGAGCCTCGTCGTGGTTTTTCGGTGACGGGCATCGTCAGGATCAGGATCAGGATCAGGATCTTTCCCCCTGGTGTAGATTTGTTTTTATGCCGACGGCGATTTCGTTCCGTGAGGTAATAACGGCTGTGTGTTGGGTAGCCCCACACTTTTTTGGGAGGTACATGGGGCAGAAGCACCGCATGGTTGTATCACATGTGTATATCACATGTGTGTTGTGGCTTTCGTTTTGCCTGCTGTGTAGAGGGTGTGTTTCCGGTGGGGCGGCGATTGGTGGTAATGTAGACAATATATTACCTGTGATAAACCATCACATTTTCTTGTGCGTGCAGCTGGGGTTGTAGCTTTTCTTTACTACATAAACTCGTTTCTGATAAGTGGACGAGCTTGTTTGATTGGCGCATGGCAGAAAACGTGTTGTATACCCGGTTACACCAGAAGTGCTCGTGCACAAGAGACGGCAGGTGTTGAACCCCAGTGTCTCACGCTGATTGGCCAACACCCGCCATTTGTTGTTTCCGTTTGGTTAGCGGGTCACGTTGTGGCACGCCGCGAAACTTGTAGGTTCGGCCTTCTTCGCCTCTCTTTCTTGTGTTAATCGATCCCGAGACCGTTTTCTGCCGAAGGACCTCCGCTCAAGTCAGGCCGTTCGTTCGTTTTTTCGGGACTGCCAAATGTGTGGATGTCTCCGACTTATACGCGCGAAGCCGCTGTGACGGCCCTTTTTCTACGGATGATGTCCCCGCTTTTCGAATCGATTCCGATTGTTGAAAGGTTTGGCCCTTGTGAATGGTGGACGAGAAATCCATTATCTTGCTTGTTTCTGAGCTCTTGCGTGTTTATCATCGTTTGGCAATTGGCTTGTAACCCAGGTTTTTTTGTTCGTGGTGCACAGACATGCCAGCGTGAGCGATGCGTGCCTTCATGCACGTTCATCCCCTGGTAGACCGAGGCACGTTACAATAGCTACAATGACATCGCGCTGGTTGGCCGCCCTCTCTTACCCCACCGAAAGGAAGCCTCTGTTGTCTATATCACAGAACATGGAGCGATCGACAGCAGTAAGCTTCCTTACTCTCTTCCACAGCCAGCCCCACGACGTACGTCAAGCGGATCTCCTTCAATGCTCTAGTAACTGCTGGTTTCTCACGTGTGCACAACGAAACTGGCAGACACCACACAAGTAGAAAGTAACAAACGTACCCTGTGTGGTGGTGAAGTGTTAGCGACACCCATCAAGGGTCCCCCGCTAACATGCACTGGGTCTCAACAATCAACCTGGAAGCCACCCCGCTGTACCGTGTTTTAGTAGCGTAATTTTCCACAACAAGGGCGGTCGGTACCACTGCCAAAAAAAGGCTGGCTTTTGAAACATATCGTAGAGGGCTTTCCTGAGAGGTTTCGGTTGTAACCCTCCTAGTTGTTGAGAAATACGCTAAATGGTAAAACGTCAACGCCGGGGTGCCACCTCTTCGACCCTTGCGGTACGCCTCTAAAGTCATTTTTTTCACACGCACGCATGGCAGCCTGACGAGTAATGGCCTACGTAACGAACCTGTTATCTTCTTGCTCCCATGTGCTGGTATGGGAAGCGTTTTGCCGGATGTCACGACAGCAGTCTGTCTACGATCCACAAAAAAATGGTAGATGGGCTCCAGATCTACTAAGCTTCAAATATTCAAGAAGCATCGTATGCTAAACTGGTAGTGTGTAACTTTTTGGGGGTAGTCTACTGTAGTTGCCCTGTGCCCACGGGTGGCGTCCGCGTCATGTGTGGAGCGGCGTGTATACGGATGACAGCAGGTACTGAGCAGAGACCCGAGCGGATTCTTAACATAACAAGAGCACGTTTCTTTTCAGTGTGAAGACAATGACACCAACGACTCGGCAAGCTTGTCGACACACCACGGGGAGACGGACCCCCATTTCACGAGAGAAGCAACGCGGTGAGCGTCGGCAACATATCCGTCCAAGTTCCGAAACAACAACAGCGAGCACACGACGCACGTGATTTCGAGTTACGCATGGCCGCCGCCGCCGTCACCCCGTATAACCAATCGATGGTCATGGTCATGGTGAATGATGGTCGTGGCAAGGTAGGTCAGTCCACGTGGCTGAACTCGACGGTCCGCGTCGCGGGCCGGTACACCACAAAGGAGGAGTCGCTGGGGAAGGAGCCCGGGTTGAGCGAGCAGCAGTCGTTGAGCAACCATCGGTACTGCTCGGTCCTGTCTGCAAGCACGGCAACGTGCGGGAGCGGGTACAGCGACAGGGCGTCGTCCAGCTCCCAGTGGATCGGCCGCGCCGAGAGCGGGAGCGGACACAGGTGCCCTTGGTGAAGGAGCGTCTTCGTGCACTTATGGTTGGTTCGG